TCCTCCCGCCTCAGCCTCTGGAGTAGCTGGGACTACAGGCAAGCACCACCACACTCGGCTAATTTCCCTATTTTTTGTAGAGATGGGATCTTGCTCTTGTTTAGGCTGGGTCTCAAACTCCTGGCCTCAAGCAATCCTCTGCCTTGGCCTCCCAGAGTGCTAGGATTACAGTCATGAACCACTGCACCCAGCCTATAAACTTTAAGCTTTTAAAGTATTAATACATCTTTGGGTGAACAAACTCCGGTATATAGTAGACATTCAATAAATGTTTGCTTATTAAATAAACCTGCTACCTTATTCCTCTTCTATTATTCAAATCTCTTCTCTCCTTGGTGTTCAGGGAGGGGGAGGAGGCAGAAGACAGCTGAAGTTTCATGTAATTCGTGATGCCTTAGCACTTATTGAGTGCTAAGGGTGTGTTAAGCATTATTATAGCATCTTGACATATGTTCATCATCCCAGGTAAGTCTGTAACATCCCTGTGAAGTAGATAGTATCCACTCTCTTTTAAAGATGAGAAAACTGAGACTCAGAAAGGTCATTGCAAGCTCAAACAAATCCCGTTTTCTACGCATGCCAAAACAATTAAAGAAGCATTTTAAAAGCGTGTGCAAAGTGCTGCGGGGACTTTGAAGATTAATATGCTCTATGCTTTTCGAAAGTGTCATAGCAAGGAAAACATTTAAGTAGAGTATTACTGTAAGGTAAGCCAAGAGTGAGTACCACGTGGGAGCTTTAAAGGGGAGAAATCCCAGGGGAAAGAGAAGGAAGTCATCAAAGAAGGCTTCACAGAAGAAGGAATGATTAAGTAAGACTTTGAAAGGAGAGGACAGGAGGAAAAGTCACGTGAATCATGTGTTCAGCACTATGCTAAGTGCTTGTGTACGTTATATTTTATCCTTTTAATCCAATAATTCTAAGTGTTATTGTACCTAATTTTAGATGAATAAACCAAAATTTAAAGAAGAAATTTCCCCAAATGTTCTGGTCCACATTTAATGTCTCCTTACTTCCTCCTCGCCTTCTCTGTCAGGGATTGTCAACATGGATTTTGGCACATAACTGTGCATTGCCTCATATATTTGGTATATAACTTGCGTGTATCCTTGCATGTGTGTGTGTGTGCTTGCACACTCATATGCCCACATTTCTTATCTCTCATACAAGTATAAACTACTTGACACAAGAACCTTTATTTCATATTCCTTTAATATTCCTCCATTACATGCTTACATAATAGACACTGAAATATGGTAACATGTTAATGCTAAACTAAGTCTGTACATTCTAGCCATTTTTATTTTGTGTAAAGGTTTTATGACAGCAAATGAAAGGAAATTATTCAACCACCTGAAATCTCCTCATCTGAAATATTGGGTTCCATTCATCTGGTTTGGAAATCTTGCCACTAAAGCTCGGAATGAAGGTAGAATCAGAGACAGTGTTGATCTGCAATCATTGATGACTGTAAGTACATCATAAACCATCAGTAACAGATGCTAATTAGGGACCAAGAGGGATCTGCAGATAACAAGGCAGACCAGAAAGAGTCTGCTTTGTTTAATCCTGGTTCCAAAGGAACTGGAAAGATTGGTCCAGTATCAGAACCCTCAACATGCAGGATGCAGAGAGTATACAGGTTGTACTTAGATAGCTTGGTAGTGGTTGTGTGTAAGCTTACAGCTTTCTTACGTCTCTGTAAGAAAGCATTCCTTGATTGATTAGCCAAGGGCCGCCAAGGGCTCTGAAAGATTTGGTGCCCACGTGGCATATTTTCCATCCCTGGCTCCAGGATCCTAGAATAAAATCCAGAGAAGAAACAAACCTCCCCAGCCATTTCCCCCAAATTGGAATATTCTGAGGGTAAGCTACATTTTCAGATGCTATAGTAAACAAAACAGTGTTCTTTCTCAACAAAATAACACTGAATTCATCTGACAAAACAAATTTACGTAGAGCTGGATATATTTGTGCCATGACGGTCTCCTGCCTGGATTAGTCTAAAAGGAGTGAATGATTTTTAAAAAGCTCCCAAATTAATATGAACTTTTCTTCCCAGGCTTAGATGATAACTTATGTGCAATAGAGGGGGAAAAAAAATCAAAGGATCCCATCCCTCCTGCTTCAGAGAGAGATTTTCTGTCAATCTGAGTGTTCTACAGTTCTCATTTTTTGGGGGAGAGCTATGGAATGTATTTATATCTCTTTTCTAAGATCTATAGTAAGCGTGTTTTTAAAAGAGAGAAACAAAAAGAATTTGCTTTCCACATTATTTACCAAAATAGCTAAAAATTACTATTTAAAATATTAACTATTGCCTTCTCATCACCACTTTGGGCCAATATACACATAGGATATGTTTCTACTAAGTCCTGCCTTATTTTAATATTAGAAAAATATGTCCAAATGTCCTCATCCTTTTTGCGCAATTTTCAATGATGTTCATTGCTTGTCATTTTTAGAGCTTTCCTTTTAGAGTAGCCTTGGAAACCAATTTACTACCCTTACAAAGTCAGTCCCATCATTTTACAAACATATTCATAAAAGTCATGCCACATTCTGAATCTCAGTAAATGTTTATTACCACACCCATCATTTTAGTAAGTCATTTTCGATTTGTTTCTGATTTAGGAAATGAATCGATACCGCTCTTGGTGCAGCCTCTTATTCGGTTATGATTGGGTTGGGATTCCACTGGTTTACACCCAGGTACCAAATACTTTGCACGTGATTCATTATTTCCACGTGCCCACGTTGGCACTCTAGCTCACTGTGGGCGGCCAGCACTGTCCTCACTCCAGTCTCTCTCTATTCCAGGTTGTCACTCTTGCTGTCTACACCTTCTTCTTCACGTGCCTGATTGGACGCCAGTTTTTGGATCCCACCAAAGGCTATGCGGGGCATGACTTGGATCTTTACATTCCAATCTTCACTCTCCTACAATTCTTCTTCTATGCAGGATGGCTCAAGGTAGCCAACAGTCTCAGTGCTTGAGACCCACTCTGTAATCTGTCATGTTCCAAACTCTGCACACTGATCCTTTACTGAGTCTTTAGCAAATGATTCGTGAGTGAGTCAAAGGTAGATTTAACATGTGCATTGCTCAGCGATGTGATTCCTTTTCCACCAGGGATTAAAGTGGCAGGGCTGTAGTCTGCACTTGTATTGCAGCGATCTGAAAAAGCTCATCTGTGCAAAGAGATGAGAAGAGCACTCTTTTATGGCTATTGATTTTTTTTTAAGTCTCTGTATGCTCCCATTAGGATTACAATAATGTAACTAAGGTAATAACTGTGCCTGCATTGATATTTTATACCACAATAAGCAACTAGGCAGAGTAAAAGAGAATAAACAAGAAGCCTTGTCTATCAGACTTAAGCATTCCTATTGTAGTGGTATCTTGGTTCTGCTGAACTCTGTAAATAGTTACTTGCAATTCCCTGAAATCCTACTAGCTATCCCATAATAATAAATGCTTCCCATTTTCCAAAACAGAACAGAAACTCAGGAAAGAATTCATCAGAATCAAAACCAGAAACACTAGGATTAATGATGACATTTGGTTTGCAAGGAAATTAAAAACAGGTCCAAGCAGTGAGAACAGCTTGTCTAATTATCATTGTAGAATGTTATGTGCTCCCCACCACCACCAGTCTCCCTCACTCTTCTCAAACTTTCCCAGATGTATGTGAGTGAATATCAGAGGCCTGATTCTTCCATCTCTTTTGTAAACTTCTAAAAGGGACATATGTGATAGAAAAAGATCAAAGACAATGATTTCATTAAGTTAATTGAAATCTGATGATAGTATGAAGATGATGTTAATTAAGTAGAATTTTCAAATGTTTGGCCTTCCAAACAGCCACATGTTGTCGTGTACCATTGAGGTCTTCAGGTTGCAGCAGAATTTTCCCTGTAGAAGCCTTTCCTTTCATTGGTTTGAACCTTAACCAGGAAAAGTAAATGAATTGGCATTTCAAATTATACTCCAAAGAGTAAAGGCATGTCCCTTACAAATGGTAAAAACATTTTTAACCAGGTAGCAGTGATTCTTAATTATTTTTGCCCATTTAAGAGCGAGAAAGAGCAAGAGAGACTAATGGCTGTCATTTTCCATTAGAAGAAAAAGTAGACTTTACCTTTGTAAATATAAAATAACTACAATTGGCCCAAATGCTCAATGATTTGGGTCCTTTTTGTCCTTTCCCCTTCTTAGTGCTGAGCTTTTTATTTTTTGCGTTGTGTCCACGTAAGGTCCTCTACCAACCTGTAAAGAGTAGATAGTGGTTCCTTCCTTCTGATATGCTTTCTAAAATGTTAACATCCCTTTCCTCTATAAAGTATTTTTAAAAGGCAAAATATGAAAAGACACAATCTTAGCTCTGTTAAGAGATAGGCAAACCTAAACACCAATGGGTTGTGCCTGATATCTAAATAGCTGCTCTAGCTTGACAATCCAGATATTTACAAATCTTTTCAAAGTACAGAAAAGCCAACTTAACTTTATAAACAACGTATTACTCAGTTACTTGCTGGAAATGGAGCCTCCAATGGAGTAAAGGATATCTTCTGAGATTGTCAATTCAGAAACATACGTGCCATTTTGTTAATTTAATGTGAACTATAATAATATATGCAGAACTCATCCCATAAAAGTAAAAATCTGGATATAACAAAAATATTTTCAGGACCCAGCAAGTGGCCTGATTAATTTAAGTGAAACCCCAGGCAAGAAATGGTACATAGCCCCTTGGAACTCATAATAAAGGAATTTGATATGGATATCACTGTGAGGTTTACTGCATCAGCGCACAGCCTTGCCTAGGGCTGTCCCTTAGAATAAGGGAGATACAGTTCTATAAATCGGAGGTTCTTAACCCAGGCCGCACATTAAAATCTCCTGGGAGTTTTACCCAATACTGATGCCTGAGCTCAACCTCAGACTGGTCAAATCAGAATCCCTGGGGGACAGACCCAATCATCAGCTGTTTATTTTTAAGAGCTCCCCAAGTAATTTTAATGTGTAGCCAAGGCTGAGAACTACTGCTTTAAGTAATTTGTCTTAAATCCTAAAAAATAAGTAGGTAGATTTTCTACTGAATGGTCTCAGAATCTAGACTGTCTAGACTCTGGAGACTAACCACATGGTGCCTTTATTTTATATACTGGTAAGTTTTTCCCCATCTAGACTCACTGTATGCAATATATGCAAAATCTCCATATCTCTCTCTCTCCCCACCCCACACACCTGCACACACACATGAATATGCACAGACATCCAGATAATAGAAATCAAAGGCAATTATTCAGAAAGGAGAATGACGGGTGAGTCATATTTGACATATATACCTCTCATCAAGAAGGCCATTCCATTCAGGAACATGGTAAGAATATTTCATTTTGACCAAATATTAGAAGATGTGTGATAATAAGCTACCTAAATTCTTCCTAGCAGGAAAACTAACTTACTGGATAAGGGTAAATCCTTTAGAGTAAAACTAAGTAAGCCCTAATTTCCAGCTTCATAACTTACTGGCTCTCTGACTCATGCACTTAGCAGTTATGTCCAATAATTGTGGCAGCTCTTTATGTTATTTTCTTTAAACTGTGATTTAAGTCTTTCTTTGCTATTTAACCTTCTCCTTGTTTACATTTTGTCTTATCATCTGGGCCCTGTAGATTCTTTGAAAGCACAGGCTATGTATCCCTCGCAGTACCTTGCACATAGTTGTTGCTCCATATCCATGGGTTTTATTTGGCTCCTTACCAGTGTTTGGCGTCTCCTGGAAAGGGCCTGCATTGTCACCAGTTGGATAGACAGATCCATTTGGCAAGCATGCCCATGAAGGTGCATCATTCATAGTTTGAGAATCAAGTCTTCCTTGCTAATAAGTATCTGTGTCAGTAGAACAATCCTCTCCCCTCTAGGCTTCATATTATGGAAGTGGCAAAATGAAGTAGAGAGCGAAACAGGAAATCATTTTAGTCTCTGTTCTCAGTCCTCACAGGTATCATGATGGATTTCTTCTATGTTCTCACCTGCAGGTGGCTGAGCAACTCATCAACCCTTTTGGAGAGGATGATGATGATTTTGAAACTAACTGGTGCATCGACAGAAATTTGCAGGTTAGCAGAACTTTTCTTCCCTTTAAAAACATTAATAATAAATCCCTAATGATGTTTCAAATCTAAGCAGATCCTGGATACCAGCCCCTGGACTTCTGAGCTTTAGCCACAAGTGAAAGAGGTTTGGCTATTCAGCAGGTTGTCTCAAGTCCTTTTGGAGCCTCAGGTGTCCTGGATCTCAGTTCCAGTGAAATTTACTTCCTTTTAAGTAGAATTTCAAGCCAATTTTGTTTGCGAGTTTCTCTATTAGCTTTACCCAGCCTCTTCCATCTCAGTACAGAGCAATAATTTAATTTATTCTTTAATTTGTTTTCTATTGCCACCCAGAGAGGTTCATAGTGACACAATCTGATGTGAGTTCCCAAAGTTGTCTCACATAGATCCCAGCAGCCAGATGTCTGGCAGCTGGACACTGGGAGCTGGGCCATGCCATCCTGTCCTCAAATCCTGTGTCTCAAATCTGCCTGAAACGCACCAAGTGAGCCCCAGGGCCCTTGCCCTGAACCACTGTTCCGGAGAGCTTCTCATGAAGAACCAGCATAAGGGAATTTTCCTTTGAGGCAAGACCCTCCGCAGACCATTCTCGTCCCTGAGAACCCCAGATGGAGTAAAGGCCTTTACCTTGTTCATTTCTTTAAGCCCTGACTCGGCTCTTAAATAAATACAGACACTTCACAGTACATCTCATTGTCAGTCTGTGTGGGGAGGAAGTGTAATGTCTTGGTCACTCACTCTTTGTCAAAATGGGATTCCCAGAGGATTAATAATTTATTCATGCATCACTTTGTCAAAGCCAAGAGGAGAGATCACTATAGCTTCAACCAGTATAGATTTGCTAATATGCTTTTCCAAACAAACAAACAAGAAACCAGGACATATGAGTTATGGGGTTAACAAGTTGAAATACTGACACTCTTCACCTTCCTATACTATCTGGGGTTAAGTGGGTGCTGTCAGGGCAGCCACTAAGACAGTACTGTAGCCCTGAGCACGGTATCCAGGTGAGACGCAGCTCCACTCGGGCACGTGGCTTGTTGAACAGAGTATGGGCGATTGAAGCCCCACTTACTCTCATTGCCAAGTGCTCTTGAGCCGTAAACAATGGGCACAACTCTGTGGCTGCCATGGTTGTGGCAAACGTGAAGTATAGATGTTTGTACATTCACTCACTTAGACCGTGTCCTAGCCCACTCCAACTCCCGTCCACCCACTGGAACTTCTCTTTTTTACATAATTTGTATCTGAATTATTCTAACAATATAACGGCGATTTTAGGTCTCTCTTTTAGCTGTGGATGAAATGCACATGAGCCTACCCAAGATGAAGAAGGACATTTATTGGGACGATTCTGCCGCCCGACCGCCATACACACTGGCAGCTGCCGACTACTGCATACCTTCGTTTCTGGGGTCAACAGTCCAAATGGGGTAAGTGTGTTTTTTAAAAATCTCCAATATTTAGGGGATAAGTAGATCACTGTTTTGATCTATTTACTTTTTTGGCTTTTTTTCTAATGCGCTTAATAAGTCAGTCTCTGTTGAGTGGCTTTACCGTAACAATCTGTCCCTATATACTAGGAGGCTTAAATAAATGGGTTGCGGCCGGAAGTTAATCAGACACAGTTCTAGAATAATTTTATTAAATCTGATAATGTACATGATTTTGAAGAAATGTGTAAATTGGGTGGGGGAGTGTAAGTATATTTGCTGAAGGCAGGTGCCACAGTTTCCAAGTAAATTAAAGAGGAGAGCATGGACAAATTTAGAAAGTGAGAACCACTTGCCCATTCCCCCAGAAAACTATAGAAAAAGGGGAAATTTTTGTGGAATTTTTCTCATAACTTTAGGCAAAACTGTGGCTCATTGTTCCCTGAGGCCAACTCTAAGCAGATTTGTGAAGCGGGTTCATGTCCTGTGCTTGCTGCCTGTGACCTTCTTCCCCCTCCTCCCCAAGGTGGTCTGCCCTCCCCTTTCTCTGCTTTCGGGACACCTGGCTTCAATCCTACTCCTATGAAGCTTTGCCCTTAGCTGAATGTCTCCTAATCCTCATAAATGGTGGTTTGTGGCACTGCTCTTTCAAAGCGGCCTCTGAGGCTGAAAACCTTTCAAGACCCAAAGAAAAAGATGACTGAAGGTGGAATTTCAGGAGTTGTGGCAGATAATGAGGAAGAGTTAGGAGCCAGGAGATTTTCTTTGTTGCCCTCAAAGGACACCTTAGAGAAAGTCACCTCCTCCAGACTAGACTTGCTTCTGCTTCTAGATAGCCTTCTAAGACTGGACCCTCCTGTCCAGGGCTCCTTCCAGGCCAGGAAACTCAGACCTACCCCAGCCTATTCTTAGTCTCCGTGAATAGTGACCTCCCATTGTGTGCCCTTCTCAGCCTTTGTAATGCTCTCCACAGGGGCAGAGCTTTACGGACATTTGGCAACCTTCTCACTTTTGAAAACTAATAAGAAGTGTTTTTCTGTGAGTTTGTTTTCAGATAATTCAATATGCTTTATCCTTCCTCCCAGTCCCACCATTGATTAAATTATTTGAAGTCCTAACTTGTAAAAGAAGAGAGACCTATACCCTTGATAGAGTCAGGAAATCACTGTGATGATTTTATTTAGACTGCAAGTGCTGCGTGGGCTGCATCTCTAATGTACATTGAGTTGTTTTGCACAGTGGTTAAATGATTTTTTGCAGGTCTGAAGATTTTTATCCTAATCTACATATTTGTCCTAATCATCATAATTGGAGGGTTCCTAAGTAAATGTCCATGTTCTTTAGAAAATGTTAAAACACCTGTTTCTCCAATTTCTAAATATGAAAACATACAATTTAGGATTGATAAGATCTTGGAGAAAATTCCTTCCCCAAAAATGTTATTGGGAAGGTTAAATGTGATTGTAAACATAAAACACTCCAGATATAATTATAGAGCATATTGTTATCAGCTAACCAATTCTCTTATTTGTGGATGTCAAACTGAGGGACAGAAAGATTAAACAAATCTAAGCCTTTTTTCACATTAAACTAAGGAGATTTGGGACATAAAATAAAACAACTGAGAGAAAACCAGGAAATACAATATTTAAAGCTGTAGCAAAAAAATTATCAGTCGTCAGAGAGAAGTCCTCCAGCTTAAATGGCCTATTTACCAGCAGGATGGGGAGAGGCACAGATGAAGGCCAGAGTCTATTGGGAGAGGTTTCTGTGAGATGTCTAACTGGACTCTGCTAGAACCACCTAGTCAAAGAAACAGTTAGGCAAAAGCTCACTTGTTCTTGGTTTTCTGCATGAATGAGAACCATGAAAGTGAGCCACAGCCCAGGAAAATGTCCTGCAGGAACACAGACTGCTGGAAGCCAAGTATTCACAGGAGTGCCCCTTTCAATTCATTAGTGTCGATTCTTCCTAGGATTGTGTTGTTAGAACAAATGTTGCCTGTGACAGAAAACCACACTCAAACCATCTTAAGCAAAAAGGGTTTTATTGGGTCCCACCTAGAGACAAGCCTAGCTTTGGGCGTGGCTGGTCCAGAGGCTCTGAGAATGTTTCCGGGACTTACTCTGGCCCTGTCCCTCTCAGTTCTGCTTTTCTCTCCACTGGCTCCGACGTGAGGCAGGTTCTCCCCTCCAGATGGCAAGAGGAAAATGACAGCCAGCAGCCCCAGGCTTACAATCTATCTTCTTAGCAAACCTGTGGAAAAAGCACATCTTTTTTCCAACTCTTAAAACTAAAGTACTAAATGTGCTGTGATCGGCTGGGCTTGGCTAACATATCCATTCCTGAACTAATCACTGTCGACAGGGAGACACGATATTTTGATTAGTTAAGGCTGGGTCCGGTGTCCACCTTTAAACCAAGGGGTATAGTCAGTCCCATCCGACCGTTTGGAATATGTGATATCTCAAGAAAAATCAGGGCACTGATACCGGGAGAAGGGCAAATGGTTTTGCTGGGCTGGCAAAAACAATAGACGACTTCTAAAATCATAGAAAATAATTCCCCAAGCAATGAATTGTTCCCTCACCAAATACAAGGTCACCATCAAGTGAGCCAGCTGAGGCTGAGGGAAAGGCAAGAGGGAAAGTCTTATTGCAGCACGGGTGGTTTTGTTGGTGACGACTGAGCCAGCGAGTTCTTTGCATTAGGGTGAAGACCAGGTGTCGAGATACTGTAGACACAAGCACTTCATAAAAGTGCTTGCCGCTTGATGAGCATTTAACATCCTTTCCTAGATGAGTAAATTCTTTATTTTCTTATTCTGTTTTAGGTATTTAAATCAGAAATCAAATTTCCCTTATTTTTTCTTATCAACATTTCAGGTGTGCAGTCACAATTCCCATAATCCAGAAATTCTGAAATCAAGTCAGTGCCCTTCAGAGACTGAGCAAAGTCCTGTGCAAGGGCGACCTAGAAATCACTCTGCCCCACATTCCACACGTTCAGCACACTACTCATTTCCACTTAAAACAGAAACTCCTTGGAGACAATCCCTTTGTTCTCTGTGTTAAGGAACACGTTCAAAACACGGCCCTGTTTTCTGCATATTTCCTAAATATACGTCACTTAAATAAAGTCAGTTTTTCTCCCTTTTCTTATCTCAAGTACAAATTTAAAATATATTTTCCTGTGTACTTTCACATATGAAATGCACTCATTTATTTATTCAGGTAAACTTTATTTACTGTGTGGTAGATCCTATGCCAGATGCTAGAGGTAGTCAAAAAAAAATAAAATAAAAGGGAAAAAAAAACACCTTTTAAGCTCACAGACATAATGAGGAAACAAGTTACAATATAATGATATAATGTGGTAAATGCTGTAATAGAGAAATGCTCAAAGTCTTATGGGAACACACGTCACCCAGCCTGCTGGATCAGAGAAGGCTTCTTAGAGTTGGGGAACCTAATGTACGTCTTTAAGAGTGAGTTAGGAGACCGGTGCAGTGGCTCAGGCCTGTAATCCCAGCACTTTGGGGGCCGAGGCAGGAGGATCACTTGAGGCCAGGAGTTTGAGAGTAGCCTGAGCAACATAAGAGGTCCCATCTCCACAAAAAATAGAAAATTTAGCCTGGCCTGGTGGCACACACCTGTAGTCCCAGCTACTAGGAGGCTGAGCCTAGAGTATTGCTTGAGCCCAGAAGTCTGAGGTTGCAGCGAGCCATGATCACGACGCTGCACTCCAGCCTGAGCGACAGTGAGATCCTGTCTCACAAAAAAAAAGAGTTAGGAGCTAGTGTACAGACAGGAGCGGGAGCATTAGCAGAGGGTACCTTCTAGGCCAACATGACCAAAGACGGAAAGAAATGACAAATAGTATGTGCAGAGTAACAATTTGATATGCAAAGCAGAAGAGCCAAGAAATGAATCTAGGAGGCAGATTATGGAGGGTTTTACAGGCTGGGTAAAGGGCTTCGGCCTTTCTCCAGAGCTATTAAATGACAGGGGCACATATTTGTTTTCAGTAGGTTAGCCTGGCAGCTGGCTGAAAGATGGAGTCCTGAGGATAAGACTAGAGCCAGAGGTAGTGGGCTATTGCTGTCATTTAAACAGGAGAGGATACAGGCCTGAACTCAGTGGCATCACAAGGGACATGGACAGTGGAAATGACAGAAGGGCCAGATTAGATTCAAGAAAGGAGTTAAGAATGCCTGGATGATAAACCAAGGCTGATGGAGAGGATGAGGGTGAGAGCTGCTCTGCAGGAAACATGAGGCCCGTGTCGACTGTGAGGCTTCTGTGGACACTCCACGCAGACACGGCCAGCAGGCAGTGAGTGCACGGACAAGGTCTAGGCCAGAGGATGCCTCTGACTGCTACCAGCACACAGAACTGTAGGAGTGGATGGGCGCTCCCAGAGCAGCGCCCAGGGGGCAGGGAAGTTGCAACAGGTAGAACACTATCACTGAAAGGGCGGGCAGAGGGGCAGAAAAACCCAGAGAATTCCCTGTCCTAGAGGCCAAGGGTGCAACGCTTCAAAATAAAGCCTGAAAAATGCCATAGGGGTTTGCATGTTAAGGTCATTGGAAGACGTGAGTGAGAGTGTGGGGCAGAAGTTAAATTGCAGGAGGTTAGGAGTGATTGGGAGGTGAGGAGATCAAGACTGCTCGTGTAAACGATTTGTAAAAAATAATTATATTCTAGAAAACAGACACAAAAGTAGAGAATAAGCTCTAATAAAGCTCCATGTACCCTTCACCCTCCTGCAATTATCCACCCACCCTTACCCTCCCCACCCCAGATCATTGTGAAGCAAATAGACCTAAAAATTGGCCTCAACAAAACAAAAATAAAACAAAACCAAAACCCCATAGTAATTCCCTAAATCATTAACTCTCCATGGACTACTTTTTTGAGAAGTCTGAACTGAGGGGAGGAAACAGACCAGAGTAGTACCCACTAAGAGATAGGGTCAGGGGAAGGCTTTGCATTTTGTTT